GTCTAGCTGCTAGGGAAACTGAGCCTAGGAGACTGTGACACATTGTGTCCTCTGTGTCTATCCACTGTCCCTGGTGAGGTGCCTTTGGGTTACAGTGTTTGATCACCTACGCATCTATGCCCATAGCCCATAATCAAGGCTCATTGTCCTCTCTCTGTTACCAACTTTTCCCCAAAAAGTGGAGTTTTATCAGAGATCTAAGAAACTGGCTCGTTCCAGCCATTTTGGGAGAGGCTGCGGTTTCTGCCTGGACGTTTCACTCCAGAGCCGCCGGTGGCTGTACCAGCATCCTCTTCTCTCTCAGCCGTGCGATTGCAGTTTGCCTTAATGAGAACTGTCCGTATGCATCAGCCAGAGTCAAACAGCGTGGCTGCGGCTCTTGCAGAGGCCGAAACAGCTCTCTGTAGACTCACTGAATTTTCTTTTCCTTCTCTAACAGCTGCCCTTCACAGGGCTGTAATCTGTTTCCTTGCATAATAACCCAGAAGCCATCAGCGTTACTCACATTGCAGCCACCCAGAGATAGTCAGGGTGTTTGGGGTCAGCAAGCTGTTCTCCATTTCTAGAAGTGTGGCTGCTCTGTGTCTAGGCGTTGGGGGTTCTCGTGTGGCTGGGATTTGCTTATTGGCTTTGAATCTTCCTGACCTGTCTGTAGGGGCAGTTGAGGCAGTGTGGCTCTGGCTCTGGTCCCTTCCCAGTGGTTCAGCAAGGGACCCAGAGGCGCTCTCTGACCTCCAAGTGGAAGTGAGCCATGCTGACTTGAGATCAGGCAGTGTGGCCTGGCTGCTTTCTGGGTCCCCTGTGTATCTGCCTGAGTCTGAGGTAGCCACAGGAGGCCCCGGTGACCTGGAGACGGAGGTGGCAGCAGCAGGATGGGGGCGAGCGCTCTGGGAAAGTCAGGGAGGCACACGACGCTGGTGCATGACGCGGGTCAAAGAGGCGCCACAGTGCTTTGGACCTAATAAAGGAAAACAGCTGACCCACATCACACTGTGCAGGGGACGAGGACCCAAATGCAGTGTGGGATTTTTTTTTTTTTTTTTTGAGTGGTCTCTAAAAATTGCTCAAGGCCATAGAGTCTCGGTACACTTCCTGTTAGCTGCCCTGCACATGCAGGGTGGCTGCTGCCTGAATCCTGGGTCACCAAGTGTGAGGACATGGGGAAGTGCTTTTGAGATGGCGAAGACCGAGCTGAGCCTCAGCAGGGCCCTTGTATTTCCCACCTCCCTCTCTTCCTTCCATTCATCTTTCCGTTTCCTTTGTAGCACTAGGAATTAAACCCAGGGTCTTTACGCAGAGCTGCATCGCCAGGCCTTTCTGTGTTTGTATTATGAGACCGGACCTTGCCCAACGGCTTTGCGCTTGCAGGCCTCTTGGGTGCTGTGTTCTGGGGTACATGCACCGAATCCCGCTGATTGCGTCAGTTTTGACCAGTGCAGTACCTGGCGTCCATGGTAGGGGGCGCCTTGGCCTCTTCTCTGGTTTTCCATTTCTCCACCCAGGGAACTCGGTGTTGTGCGCTGTGCATCCCACATTTTCTTTGCCCATCCTCCGTGGGTGGATGCCTAGTGCCCCCATAGCTCAGCTCTCAGCCGCGCAGCAGTGGCCGCAATGCTCAGGGGCTTCCTGTTGCTCCTCCGTAGGACAATCACGGAAACAGTATGCACCTCGGCATCTTCTTCATGGGGATTTTCGTGAGGAACAGAATCGGAAGGCAAGCGGTGATATACAGGTAAGCATGCTTGTCTCGTTTCCTTTTTCCCCTTGAGAGACTCCAGGCAGTGGACCTGACTGCTAAGTTATCCAGATGACAGAGGCAGGCTGTGGCTCCGAGTTGAGCTTCTCCTGACTCTGCCCGGGCCCTGATGGTGGCGGGGAGCCCTGCCTGCCCTCCTGACTCCTGGCAGTTGCTTCGAACCAGCAAAGGCAGGAGAGTGGGACGTGGGCTCTGGGTGTGCTTGGAACCAGCCCCACAGCACAGCCAGGTGTGGGGGACACCTGGGCAGCTCTCCTTGCAGGGGGAACAATTGTGTCCACTTTGGGTGAACCTGGCCCTATTTCCAAGGATTGATGTGCACAGAGCTGGCCAGGGCTTTTCCGTGGCCCTTCAGTTTGCTTTAAACAAAGCCTGTCGGTCCAGCTCGGGTGCTGACAGTACTCTTTGAGGATGGCACCCTGGAAGGAGGGACGAGGAGCCGGTGCTCCGTGCTGTTACAGGCTAGGGAGAGGGAGGCTGTGACTTCCTGGGGCTTGGAAGCTTGCACATCAGAGCTGGAGCACCGACCCCGAAACCTTAGATACTGTCTGAGCTGTGCTACGCAGCCTGCTGTCCCTGCATGTCCTTCTCTGCGTACTGCAGGGGTGACATCAGTCTCCCACCTAACCCAGCTCACAGCACTACCCCACTTCCTGCCGTTTTCACAGTCAGTCATCCTCAAGCCACTCCTTTCTTCCCGAATAAATAAAACCCGCGTTCAGCCCTGGGTCGAGGCCCTTATTCTGGACAGCCATGGTCATGGCTGGACTTAGGGCCCCCGGCTCCCCATAACTACAGATAAGCCTTCGTGTCATTATTCTTGCCATGGGTCATGCTGGAAGTGGTAGATTGGAATTAACTCACTAGAGTTCCCGTAACTTTTCCCTGGGATTGCACATATAAACTGGGCCTCCACAGGACTGGGAAGGGCTTTGTACCAGTTCCCCGCTGATGAGCTAGGAGCAAGGATTAGACCCGAACGGGGCTCTCCCCATCACGCTGCACCCTCTGCCTCACCGCAGAGCTGGCAGAGTGCCCACTATGTTCTATGTTAAGCGAGGATTGAGGATCGAGGATCGTCTGTAAAATTGTATCTTAAAGCCTTCCATTTATGTTCACACATTAAAAGCCTAAGCGATTGCTATATGTTTATCAATAAAACTGTAGAAAAAAAAAAAAAGCCTAAGCGAGGGGTGTTGGTGTGCACCTTGCAGTCCCAGCACTCAGAGCAGCTGAGGCTAGAGGATCACAGTTGTATGCCAGCCTGGGGATGTCAGTGAGATCTTGTCTCAAAATACAGAAACAGCTGGGATGTCGCTCCCTGCATGGGCCTTTCGGTTCAATCCCAGTGTTACCCTTTTCCTTCCTTGACATATGCACTAAAAGAGAGACAGACAGGAAGACAGAGACAGACTTTGGTACTTTTTTTGTGACTTGGACACTTATTCCCCTTTCCACTTAACACAAGCAGACTTGGGGTGGAATGTGACTCCTGTTTGTCATGGTGCCAGAGTGCTCGCACGCTGAAGGCAGTGTGGCCTTCTACTCGCGGAAGAGCAGCTTCGCTGTGCAGGCGAGCGTCCGAGCAGGGCACAGAACTCCTCTGGAAGGAACTCGTGTCCTGTTGGGTGCTGCCGGGACTAGTGGTTGCTGCCTATCACTGGGAGATATTTTCCAACCGGAAGTGTCCTGAGTGGCTTCTGTTTTCCTGGGTCCCTGCCCTACCACTATCTCTGATGTTTTTTTCTTGCTGGTTCCATACAGACATTATTGAAGCTAGAAAGGGCTTAAGAGGGCTTTGACTTGTGGACGTATTCGGAATTGCCCCGTGTATCTGCCACACACTGCGAGTCAGCTGAGTAAAATAAGCAAATGCACGCGGAGCAGGGAGCATAACGTCCCGCGCCTGCTCCCACGCAGTCAGGCGCTTCCCCTCACGGGGTATTTAGGATCCAATCGATGCTTTGGTTTCTCCTTGGAGCTGTGGAAGGGAAGTAGGTGGGTCCTGCAGGGAAACAGAAGAAACAGAGACTTGAAATTGTGAGGAGCAAGCACCAGTGGCAGGCTTTGCCCTGTGGACGGCTTTCCTGCTGCTGGACGTGTCCTCTCTTCAAGGAGAGGCGTAGAGTAGCTCGTGGTGGCAGGGGACCCAGGCCATAGTTGGCTGACGCTAGGAAGAAGCCCTGTGCGGACAAGGTGCTTACTTTAGGGAGGCAGGGAAGCCGCGCAGGGGAACAGCACTGGAGAGGAGGGGCTGAGGGCCAGATGGAGCTTGACTCCAGTGTTACCTCTCCACGACCCACCTGGATGCACCCAGAAATGTGCTTTACTAAGTCTCCTGGGACATAGTGAGGCTTAGCCACCACCCACCCTGCTTCTTTAAGAACCATCTCCAGATTTTGCCATGTCCATTGTGCCCTAGGCTGAGGCATGTGGTAGGGTGGGCAGTGTCTCCGGAGTCCGGGCAGTAGGCTTGGAGGAGCAGAGCTGTAGGACAGCCCTGACCTCCTAGCCCTCAGGACCCTCGCCGCAGAGTGCGTGCCGCGAGTTTGCAGCTGCTGTCCTGGAGCCAGCTGGGCTGAGCCAGGTATTAAGCAGTTTGGTATCGATACAGAAAGCTCCCTGGGGGAGCGCTGGAAACCCAGGTACAGAACTCACCCATCCCTGACCAGGAGAATGAGTGCGGCATTGGTGTCTAAGGTCCCTGCTCTTAGGTAGGAGCAGCCCTGCTTTAGAGAGAGGAAGCAAGTATTGTCCAGCAGCAGGAAAGCCGTCTGCAGGGCGAAGCCTGTTGGGGCGCACGCTCCTCACAATTTCAAGTCTATTTTCTTCTTCCCCTCGCTCTCTTCCTTTCCAAGGATGACATTGAAAATGAAAGTACTATTACTTTTCACTCCTCCAGCGAGTATTAGGTGAGGGCTCTGTGCCAGGATCTTGGCTTGGCACTAGGAGCACAGACAGAAGAGGCAGAGCCATTCCAGGGCTGCCGGAATTCTG